GCCGGGCCCCGCCGCTCTGAAGGCCCGGGGGAAGCTGGAGGCTCTCCGCCATCAGCGGCGCTCCCCGCCCGGAAAGCGGGCGAAAGGTGCCGAGCCGTCCGCGCAGCTGAGGAGCCTCCGTCCGCGGTCAGCTCCCCGCCGTCGTTGCAGCAGCAGCAGGAGGGCAGCGCTGAACACAGATTAACGCGAGGGACACTCTTGCTTTGTCGGGGGAATTTGCAGCTGTTGGGTGTCAAGACAAAAAGCGGTGCACTCGGGTACTCTGTGCTGACGACAGATTTCAGGAGAAAGTGCAAGCAAGGCACCGCTAAAGAAAATGTAGCTGCAGGGATTTTTTTTTTCCACACCTCGCATGGCTTTAGAAACAGCAAGGGAACTGTCCTCCAGGCTGCAGTTAAATTACAGCACAATCTTGGCTGCGGTTGTTTTCCCACTAGCAGGTATCTTTAAATATTTTAGCCAGATTTCACTAATAAATATTAACACTGTTGAAGGTAGCTGAGAGTAAGGATTGAGTCCTGTATTGAAAATGGACCAATATGACTAAGTCTAAATGCTTAAATATTATATCAGTTTGTGAAGTGACAGCAACCTTGTAGGTAAGAGGGCACACTCAACAGCAGCAATCTTAAAACTAAGTTTTCCCTGTCCTTTCCTCTCCTTTCTTCTTTGGTACATACCCCGTTCCTCTTCCCAACAAACTCTAAATAGTCCAACTAGTTCATTGATGAGTTCGGAAATCAGCTTTTCCCTTACTAAGGGCACTAATTTAAATTTCTCTCCTTTGACAGCCATCACTTTTCACCAAAAAAAAGCAGAAACTTAGTAAAACTTCAGATATCTTACTCTCTCAAATTAGGCTGAAATAAACATAATTTAATTTTTTTTTTTTTTTTTTTTTACTGTGAGAGTGGTCAAACCCTGCAACAAAGCTTGTAAACTCTCTGTCCTCGGAGTTTTTCAGGACTGAGCAACTTGCTGTAGCTGGCCCTGCTCTGAGCAGGGGGTTGGACTGGACAATCTCCAGAGGTCCCTTCTGACCTCAGCTGTTCTCTGAGTCTGCAATTTTGCTGGACTGTAAAAAAACCAAGACAGTTCACATCAAAGGAAAATTCAAAGGGTCAGGGACCAGGTTCAGGGGTTAGGGCAGGGCTCAGGGTCAGGAGTCACGTAAACAAAAGCATAATAAATTTATGGCCTTGTCTCCTTAGCTTTCATCATTTATTCAGGAATGTAAGTACAATTAAGTGGCTTGGGTTATTTGTCTTTAAAACTACTCAGGAATGTAAGCAAGAATATGGAAGTGTGACATGGCTAACAATACTCTTCAAAAAAATGCCTCAACTATAGTCCTACAAATACCCAAGATAAAATACCAGCCTCAATGTTTTTTAACTCTCCAATTTTAAGTATTATAAATACAATCTGTACACAGAAACACTAACAGCTTTTCAACAGTGGACTTGTAACTCCTGGACACCACAGAAATACTTGCTTGTTAACAATCCCAGAGCTATGACAAGATGCTTGTGTGTCAAATGAGAATGGACTGAGCTTTTATTTACACAACTAGTTTAACATTTCCTTGTTTGTCAAGTTCCACAATAGCAAGTTCCTTCAAGATTCGTATTCTTGAGTCAGTGGCTTTCATATTCATCTTGTTCATCTGTGAAACACTCAATGCTGCTCTGTAGGAAAAAAGCAAACTATTTAGCAAAATGGTATCAAACATCAGGTCTGGCAGAAAAAGGCTAAAAAGTGCATACTGTTTAATGAATTATTTTTGCGAGTGCCCTGTAAATCTCACACTTCTTCAGATTGTCATCAACTTTTCTGTGCTACTTCAAATTGAGAACAGTCATTTGCTAATCCAACCTTAGGGTTAAAGAGACAGAATTGCCGAGTTAAAAACTTCCTCATTTTTCACATCAGCCTGTGAGAAATCCACAGCACACATCCCAGACAGGGATCGGGGCTTGGAGAGGCAGGAAGGGTTAGTGCGGGGAGGGCAGGGCTGAGGGGTCATGGTTTAGTGTCAGGGCTTTCCTTTTCCAGTCTGGATGCAGGTTCTGAAGCTAAAAGGGTTTGGCAGTATGGCTGTGTCAGCAAAACTTCCCTGAATAGACCCAGTTTTGGACATCTGTACAATAAAACCGAAGTGAAAAAACCTGAAGAATCTGACATACAGTTTTGAAAATGATCAAATCATAACAAGCCATTTTTATCCAAATTAATTCAGAGGGTTTTGTATGATGGCCTAACACTTTGGGGTGTGTACCTAACCAGGAAGGGTATAGGGGAGTAAAATCAAATTATGAAGTTACAATATAGCAGTGAATGGTTAACTAGCTCTTTTTGTTTAATTTGAGAAGGCTGAATTTCTTGACAGCTTATAAAATTGTTACTAATGAATGGCTTTAAGTCTTACCTGTTCTTATTTACAACGAAGTGGTTAAATAACTCCCTGTACAAATTGTTCAAGTCTGCTAGTTTAACAGTACTTCTGATACTCCTTGGTACAGTCATAAGTGTTTCCTCAGTCAATGGTTTGAATTCCGATTCTAAAAAAATTGGAAACAGAAGATATTTGTTTCTTCAGAAGTTAGGCCAAAGATAGAAAGTACTTTCATTACTTTTTAAGAAACCTCCTAAATGGGTCTAAAGGAAGATTTTCCAGCAAGAGAAAGGAGAAAAGGAAGATATTCCCTCCAAACTATCATTATATCTGCAGATCCAGTGAAAAATCATTTCATTTGAGATCTGATGTGGATTAACAAATTTGATCTGTCAATGACTACTTGGTTGTTTTGTGGTGGGGTTTTTTTGGGTTTTTTGTTTTGTTTTGCTTTTTTTAAAAAGGAACTAGGAAAATTCCTTTCTAAAGTAGGGATAAATGGGATAAATGGACTAAAGAGCTCTACGGTAAGACTGGTACACCATTTCTTCCAGACCATCAACACAACAGTATCCCCTTCAATCCCATCAAAAGCAAGAAAAACTCCCAGAGACATGGGAACTATATGTGGAATGTAACTAAGGGGTCAGTTTCTTATATTAAAATTTAAATTCTTCACATAAAAGCAGTAATTACTTTCGCTTGAGAGTGAAAACAATGAATTAACTGTGCATCATAGGCTCTATGGTTTTTAAATGGCAGAGCTCAGAAACCATACCTAGGTCTCAGCCTATTCCCACTTAGTGTGAGATTTGCCCCTGTTGTGCTAGGGGTAATACGGCCCTTCCTTGTCACCTGAAGTTCTTCACAATATCTGCCTTTTTCAGGAAGTAAAACAGTTTCATTCCTTACTCCCTGAATTCTAGATGGTCACTTCATAAGTTTAAATCGTACAGAACTATGAGAGTTCAATATTAGAGATGGAAATCTTGAGAGACTGGTTCTATTCACAAAGCTTACTTACAGGGGCTGGGCGTGTGTGTGGGAGATCAGTCAAGGGGAAAAAGAAAAAAAAAAAAACAGCAGAAAAATTATTCTTTCAGCACTCACCTTCAGTTGAGCCAGGGACTGTAGATCCTGAACAAAATGGCTAAAAATAAACAAGAGATAACGTCAGGATTTGTTGGCATTTTGTTTAGAAATTATTTTTTACAATTTCATTTCTGCATGAGTAATTACATTTTATCATTGGATAACCAAGGATCTTGCAGCCACTGAAGTCAACAGCAAAATCTTAGGCATTAAACAAACCCTGGTTTCATATAAAAGTAAGTTTAAAACAGATACAGAAAGATTTATATACAAGTCAGATGAGCCTGTTCAGCTTTCTCGTTTGCATTCTGGTATGCATCTGGCTGAAAGCACTGCACGTGCAGCAAAGGAAAAAGATGGTTTTCCTATTCTCAAGCAACCTTCAGAGGCTGACAGTTCTGACAAGTTGAAGGTAGCTGTATCTAACTCTCCTTAGCCAGAAATACAGCACTGATGAAAAAATCCCAGGGCCTTTGTGACATCTTTCCATTCTTTCTGCCTTTCAGAGAACATCTTCAAAACACACTCAATGACAACATAGGGACTGATACTAATTAAACTGCTCTCAGTAGCTGTAGGATATAGCTACATTTTGCATTGGGCCTGCTTTATGCCAGCTGTAGCTTAAGTGCTTTAGAATTACATAATGGAAAGACAGAAATTGAGAGCATTTATCAAGGTAGGAGAAGATATATTTGAAAACAAAGAGTGAACAAAGCTGCAAGATACTGGACTGCTTCCATGCAAACCAACTGTGGCAACAACGGGACAGAAAGCGAGGCATCCTTTCACAGAACAGTGGGCAGCGAGAGGACATGTAGAAAAAGATATGGTCAATAAGATAATTATATTCTATTAACCTTCTTTAATATTTTGCTTTTAATAAAAGACCCAGATCAAATCTTTGCAGATAATTATATTAGAAGATTGTGCTTTGGGTAGCTATGGGAGAATATCTGACTTCTTAAAAAGTATTAGTTTAGATCTATGCTCTACTGCATTACACTTAGAATATACTTATTGTTACTCATATTCCAAAATTTATTTAACATTTTACAGGAAATTAAATTTCTCTCCATTTTGATATACATTGGTTTGAATCAATTACATTCTTCACTCCCACACAAAGGTTTCTTACATAATGCATTAACAGAATACGATCGACAAGAGCAACCAGCTGCATCTCTGAAAAGAGACTTAAAACATATCCCAATTAAAAAATAAGGGGAACAAAGTCTTGCGTCAAAGCAAATTTTTCCTTTGTGGACAATTTAATTGGAACAAATCATAAACTTAATCAGTATACAATAAAAAAGAAAAGGTCTGTTCGAAACTTTAGTCCCATTTCTGAGAAATTCCATCCATTTGAGAGGTATTAAGTCACAAAAACAGCCCTCCTGACTTCAGCTGAGCTACTCAGGATTAATGGTTTCTGGAATACTGACAGTCTGTGGCCTAATTACCTCTTCCACTAGCGATTCCATTTCTTTAACAGTTTGGCAGGTTAACTGCTGTGCTGCAGTCTGTTCTTCTTCTGACAGAGGTAAGCGCTAAAAACAAAAACACAAAAACCAAACACAGAGAACTCTGATACTTTCAGTTCCTGGGGTGATGACATTTACAGAAGAACTCAATGCTTGTGTAGCCCTTTTCTCATGGAAACTAATAGTAGACTCCTACCTTTCTTTAAATGAAAGCAAATTTACAAGCTAAGTATTTCTGGAAAATCCAACCTTAATATTCCTTTAACATCAATACTATAAATAATTCAACAGAAAGAAGATAAATTATTCAATGAAAAGGAGTATTTCACTTAAAAGACTTACGTTTGTCCCTAACAGTTTAATCCATCTTTGGTTTAGGAAATACACAAAGTACAAACAAATCTTTATCTACAAAGTCTAAATATAACTCAAGAGACAAGAGTTTCCCACTTTAACAAAATCCAAATAGGAAATTATTCTTAGCAGCATACCCTTGGAACACACGGAGAGAAAGTATTTTTTCCTTTCTGTGACATATACCTAGTGTCTTTTAAATTGTTATATAGTACATTTTATCTATAAAGACTTACCAGTAACTTGTCTACAGCCGTTGACAGATTAAACACAGTGTCGGGGCACTGTCATCGGAACATTAAAGTGAGGGCCAAGATCCAGGACTATGTTCTAGTCACACCGCTTCTGTCTTTGCCACTAGACTATCAATTAGCTTTTTTGATATAAATCACCTTATTTATAAAGGGACAAAATGAATGCCTTCATAACCTCTTCAAAACTGTAATGAAGCAGTGTCTGAAGACCACTTATGAAAATGGGTTGTCTGTTGTTGGGTTTTTTAATAGAGACATAGGCATTGTCATACTGAGAAAAAACTTATTTCTGTGCACTAACAGCAATCCCACTGCATATGTTACAATGCATTGGTTTCAACTTGCTCACTTCAGACAGCAAAAATACATTTGCCATTTAAAAGCTTTTTTGCCTTTTAAATTTAGTTTCACTTTCTCATTTCCTTAAGGTAGCTACTTTTAAAAAATGTCAGTGTAGAAAACTGGGACACAGCTGTGCACAGAGGCATCAATTTCTATGAAACTATACAAACGCATGTCACACTATTCACGCTATTATGGTATTACTTCTACTCCAAAACTGAATACCACTAGCTTAACTGTTGAGTGATGAATCAGGCTTGTGATTTACAAAAAGAGCTCCAATCTTGTAAACATTTCTTCTGGTAAACAGTTCTAAGAGTCCACACATGTAACAGTTTCCAATGGAACTACTCACTTCTATGTAACAGTTACACAAATACATGTTCATTTACAGGAGTGAGACCCAAGTGATTAAAAAGAAAATACTACCTCAAGATCAGCGTGCTGCTGTAATGCCTGAACCATCTTCATTGTGTTCTCTAGAGCAGCACGGATGCCCTTCATGGATTCTCTCTGCTCTATGGAAACTTTTTCCAGCTGCATACATAACATTTTATAACGCGATTTCACCGCTGAGAGTTCTTCCAAGAGAGCAACTGGATTTTCCTATGTAGAAATTAGAAGTACATTTAAACTATTTAAGAAGAGAAAATTAATGTGGCCACATACCAATTAAAAGCGTAGGGGTTAAAGACACTAAAATATAACATGAAATGATAATTTACAATGAAAAGTGTAGCTGTGAGCATCTGTTTCATCTATACATTTAATTTTTCATATGCAAAAATGATAGTGTTAATAAAACAGCACAACTCTGTGGTTCCACAACAAATACAGGAGGATGAATTTATTGTGTTGGTGAATTTTAATGGCTTTTCTGAGTTGGAATAAGTTAGAGACTTCTAAATAAAAATATTATTTTTCTACTACATGTCACAAGATACATGGAGACAAGGACTTATTTATCAAATCCTTTACATGCTGCCATTTATTGTTTCCCTCTTCCTCTCATCTCTCCCTCAAATCTGAATTTAGTCATTGCTTATGAGCAAGTTTATCTTTGAGCAAGGGTGCGTTCTAGCTCAGATTGGAATCTGTCTCAGATTTACATGTTAACACTACTACTTACTTCTCACACATGGGAGAATTTCCCTATGTCAAAAAATCAAGGAAGTTTTGTTGGTTTCTGCACTGAATTCAAATTAGGCCAGTTATCTTGATATATGATGCAAGAAATACTTTATAAGAATAGTAAAAACCTAACAACTAGATAAAAGAACAGCCACATATATTTTAGGATTAAAGAAAATTACCCATTTATTACCAACTTCATGCAAAATGCAATAAAATTGATTAATCGAATCTGAAAATAGTACCTCTGCTGCTGGATTATCAGGAAGACTTTTCATTATTTCAAACTCCAGTCTGTGTTGAATATAATCCAGATCAGATTCTGCCTTCTGGAACTAAAATATTTACAATCAGCCACAGTATATTAAAAAACAAAAATTGCAGACAAAACTCAACCATTTGCCTTTCCTGTATTTCAGGAAAGCAGAAGCCAGATGCCTCCGTTTTAAAGGTTCATGTGCTATAAAAGTAAGTTTCTATTCCTCTGGTCTATTCCATTAGCTAATGTTTGCCAATTATGTTGACACACTTCTAGTCTGAAAAGTATAAAGCAATAAACTTTCAGATTTAACCATTTTCCTCTCAGGTGTAAGAATTACACATGTGTACACACACACTTCTATTCATGTTACCCTCATTTCCATTTGTCTAACCCAAATTACCAAACTGTTCTCTTTGCGTCTTGCCATGAGTACCTTTTTCATGCAGCTCCCCAAAATGCATGAAAACATTTCCATCTTTTCCGATATTATATGTCCTTGCAACGCCAAACCTCTCAAGATGAAGTTTTTAAGAAGTACACCAAAGAGGTAAGTTATACCAATAGAAAAGAACATGCTGCTTTTTTTTTTTTTTTTAAACTGATCTTCACTGGATGCAGGGGATGATAGATTTTTTTCTCCTGACATATTAACATTTTCCATCAATTTTTAGAGCTTTTTCTTGGCTAGTTGCTTTTCTTTTCAAACATTAAAATTTCTGTTAACAAAGCTGCAATACTCCGTTATTTACACAGCAGAGATTACGAATAAGTGTTTGGGATCCAAGCATATAAACAGAGTTTTTATTATTAATTATATTAAGAATGCATTCTCTCAGATGGTTATAATATCCATAATATGCTTTATTATTCCCCAATAAACCAGACTGACAAATAGATAATAAAATTGATGACATCACATTTCTTTGCTTGGGATAAATAAGCCACTAGAGAATTATCTAATTGCCTTGTAAAACAGTCTGCTGATAGCATTACTACTTAATTAATTTCAGTCTGCAATTTTAATATCTGTTAAGGACTTCTGCTTTAAAGAAAGGCAGTTTCCCCAGTTCACAAAAAAACTCATAAATTTCTTAATGTAATGATTTGGGAATTTTACAGTCACAAAAGAGACTATGATGAAAGCAAGTTAAAAATGCTTGTAACATTTAATTTCAGTGTGTTTTCCACTATTTATATTGAGATTAACCCTGAAGTAATCATTACAACTTTTTTAAGGATCAAAATAATGCTATATTTGTTACCTGTATCCCAAAGTACTACCTGGCAGTGCTATAATGGTAGCTAAAGTGACAAACTTCAGTAGTCTTTGGATGTAGCCTGTAGTCAGGCCTGGATACCAAAAGGATGTTCATGTTTTAAACATCAGCCTTGGGTCCAGCTTCAGGAAAGGACCCGCCATTAATACCTTTGAAGATCTGGAACTTCAGCCAGCCTAAAGGAACAGTCTTCCATCCAAGATACTCTACAACTAACATACCCTTTCTGGTGTACGGGAAAT